TAATTTTTAGCATATAACCCTTTTAAAAATATGCCTTAGTTCACATTTGATTCCAGAAATTCAGTAACCAACATATAAACATCTGTGCAAAGATTTATGTTTCTAAAGTGAAACAGTGAAAAATTACAGCCCTGTCAATACATGAATATCCAGACGTTGTACAAAAATGTCAAATTTTGGCACAGTGTTCTTCTGTGCATTTACATAACTGCTCGTTTAGTCATGGCTTGTTTTCGATGCTTTTGGTGGTTGTAGAAATGGTTTATATGACATTTTAGCCGAGATTCAGAGGTTTCTGTGGATACTACACATGTCTGGACTTATATTTCTCACCCCGTGTTATAACCGATTAAACGTGATCTCCTCCTTTTTGCCCCCGGTACCGGGGGCGTGGGGCTTAAGTGGTTAACATTTAGATGTGCATTAGACAGTTTTAGTGAGAGCAACTAAAGATTAAATCACTACTTTTCTTTATTGATGCTCACCAAGGAAAGAGATAAACTTCCTACTGGTCTCTAAAGACCATCCCACTACCTTTTCCTATCAATGGAATAATTTTTTTTCAAAGATCTGATTGATTGGTGACTGTAGGTGATGAGCAGATTAGGTGTGCATCATTTGTTGCTATGGTGACGTGAGTATAAGGTTAACTACCTTCATTACAGAGAAGGCTCTGTGCTTCAGATCTTGCCTCACACCACAGGCCTGTGACAGACAATGAAACCTATATGAAGTTGAGATGCTGCAGAGCCTCTGGTGAACCACTTTGTTTTTTTGGGTTTTTTTTAAATCAAAAGCATATTTGAGTTCCAGCATCGAAAATGCGATGACTTTGGTGCTGCTAAATGTGAATTTGTGGACAAAACAATTAGAGGAAATTATTAACAGATTTCCCAACATAAGCGTTATTTCCTGCAGATTTTCCTTTACCCCAGCTGATCTAAATACGCCTAATTTGAAATATTTATAGCAACATTTCACAGACGCATGCAAGACTTCCTCACCAGCTGGATGAGAACCCAGCCTGATTCTCCACCTCCTGCTCCTCCTCTGGGTCAAGGATCCAGGTGTGCCTCTATCCGCGCAACACCACAACTGAGGGGAAGCGCATTCCTGAGTGATGATGATGCGCTTCCCCTCAGCCCTGCTGTGTGTCTTGACATGCCGCTGCTGCAATTACACCACCACATCAAAAGCTGCCTGCAATGACTCAGCGCTTACAAGCACACGCGCACCTACCTAGATGCCCGGCACAGACTGTAAACAAGCCAATACACAAGACTGTGTGTCAGGGATTAACATTTCCGATTGTTACCTTGAACTGCATGAACACACACACACACACACACACACACACACACACACACACACACACACACACTATTGATTAATGAACCTGCTGGCAGCAGCTGACAACACAGCACACACAGACAGACGGACAAACTCAAATAGCACGGGTTTGAGTGTCAGTTGATCTCCTGTGTTGGCGAACACAGATTCAGCAGTGAATAACCACACACACAACGACGATAAACAAATGAATCAGGCGGCGCTCTCATAGAGTCCTGACTCACGCTCTTAGGAAAAAAAAAAAAAAAAAAAACGAAAAAAACGAAAAAAAAAAAAGGAGGTGATTGTGGGAGGAAGTGGGTGCAAAAAACTGAATTAAAAGAGAAGAGGAAAGAAAAAAGGAGAAAAGGGAGATCCTCATTTACAGACATAGCCTAACTTTGTGCTCTAAGTGTCAAATGTTTTCTCACAAACTCAACCCATCATCCTGAAATCCCCTGCTAAGCATTCTCATCTAAAACCTTTCTGCGGATGTTCACCTACACCTACTGGAGCTGCTTCACAAAGAGCTGTAAATATGGAAAACATAAGGACTTAACGAATATGAGCTGAATCATTACTTAATATTACTGCTAATGAACTTTTAAACAGGATGTCTGAGGACTTCCTTGGTCTACGATGACCTGGATAACTGAGAACCTTCACAGACTTTTAACAGGAACCACAGCAGGAAACAAAGACATTCACAACTGATCTGATCTTGGCTGAAAAGCTGGATCAGGTATCAATGATAATGCAGTTTGATGTTCCACGTTTACTTCACCACGCAGCACACCAGTCAACAGCAGCAGAACTAAAGTAGGTAACAGCAGAGGGTCAGCAGTAGTATACCCCACTGTAAATCAGTGACCAAGCTTTGGCTTCTCCCTTTTCTGTTTACTACTTTCATTATGTCAGTGTGAACTGGTTTAGCTTTCGTCCGTCAGATACACAACAAAGCACTATTTTTGGTAGAGCATGCTAGCGGGCCGTCGTTATTACTGTGTTGTTTGGAAAATACGGCACACTTAAAATCAATCCTTTGATTTTTCTGAAAATCGACAGTGCCCCTTATATCCTGTGCGCCTTATGTATGAATTCTGGTTGTGTTTACTGACCTCGAAACGATTTTATGTACACGGCGCTCGAAAATCTGTCAAATGTTTTAGTACGACTTTGCTAAGCTACGAACCCACCAGCTTGATGGATTGTCGGAGCATTACGGCTATCGTAGGCAGGAGCCTCGCGGAGTGATACGTACTGTGCTTCAACATAATATTACCGTATTGTGTGTGTATAACCTCTTTTTAAGTTTTGTGGATATTATACATGGTTATGCTGAGGATATGTCGGCCAATTTCCACTGGAAATGCCTTTTGGTTAAACTGTCAGCAAGGAATTTGCACTGTTACTTTTTATATAACTTTAATGCACATAAAAAACAGCTGCTTGTTTAAGTGAAAATACATTGATGGGTTTTTTGCACTAATAAAGTTGGGAGTTGTAAAGTATTTTGTCTAGTGTCAATTATATCGTCAGTTATATCGTTATCCAAATTTTCAAATGTATATCGTGATAAATATTTTTGGTCATATCGCCCTGCTCTAATATTTATTGTCAAACTGACAGGAATAAAACTGTCAGATTTGTTTTAACCAAAACAGGCAAATGTAAGAGAATAAAAACTGGGAAATTTATGTCAAAAAAGGCAATATTATTAGATGAAATGAGCCAAAAAAAGGAAAAAAAAAAAAATACTCAAAAACGACTAATTGAGCAAAAAATGAAGAAAAAAAAAAGGAAATTAACTTTAATATTATACTATTATTATTACTATTTATTATTAATATTTACAGGAGGTAATTTTTTTTAAATTGACAAGAATGAAACTGTCAAATTTATGTTAAAAAATGAAATTTTATGTAATGAAACTTGCACAATTTCCAAAATGTACATAATAAGACGTAAACTGATTATAAACAGAGGCAAATATATTTACAAAAAGAATGGGAAATTAAAGACAAAAAAAAACTTGTAAGTATAAGGAAAAAGAAGCCAAATTTACTAAAAAAATAAATAAATAAATAAATAAAATTAGAAAATACATTAAAAAAAAAAAAAATCTGAATATCTGGAAAAAAAAACTTGCAAAAGGTAAGAAAAAAAATTGATGAGGAAACAACTGATTGATTTGATGAGGAAAAAAACAAAACTTGAAAATGAACAAGAAAAAGACATTTCTAAAAAGAAATATGAGGAAAAAAAGAAGATAAACTTACAGTTAAACTGACAAGAATAAAACCTTGACATTTATTACCAAAAATAGGCAAATTTTAGAGGATAACACTGGAAACCTTATACCAAAAAAGGGCAATTTTATGAGACAAAACTTTATCCAAGGTTAATAAAATAATAAATAAATCAAAGCTACTACCAAAAAAACAAAAAAAAAAAAACAAACAAACATTGTGTGATTTTGCAGACGCTTTAAGTTACTTTGGAAAGAAAGTCAGTTACTCCTAGGGTCAATCACTTAAATGAAATGCTAAAAGGTGCTGTGGGTGTTCTTATAACAAACCCATCACTGAGGCAGACAAACTGCAAGCTGATTTTCATTTAAACAAGCTCTGACCTGAGCCAACACCACAGGTCTCTGTGCAGCTGGCTTTAAGACGACCGTGCAGGAACAGCCTATTTAAATAGAATATAAACAGAATGTTTTTACAGACAATGTTTAACCTCAGCTATTAAATTCTACTCAATTTTTAGTGCTTTCTCACATCAAGTAATCTAGTGATTATTTTTCCTGTAATTTTAAACAATCATTTGCCAGGAACATCCCTAGTAAAAACATGTTTCACCGAGTGACTGCCAGCTTACTAGACTATAAAAAAGGTATTAAGTGCATTGTGCTGCCACATTGAGTGTTCCTGTTGGCACTGGATTCCTTCGTGTTTAGTATAAATAAAAATAATTTTTCATAGATGTTGAAAAGCTTCTCATGTGACAGCCTTCCAGCAGACAAAAGAGTTTATACACCCACACATTAGTACACTCTGCATACATGCTGACACAAAGAAAACAGCGGCACGTGCACAGACAGGCAGAGAGAGACACACACCACCACCACCACCAAGCTACAAAGACAGGAAGTCTGAGGCATTTTTGGGTGATTCAAACCACACTTGACCTCAGATAAACCCTCCGTTCATTCAGCGAGCTAATCGTCTACCAGTGTGTTTGCACACAGCGTGCGCAGACCTCAAGATGAACTGCATATTGGTGCCACTTCCTGTACGAGCACTGTTATAGCCTAGGCTTCAGCTCCCTGGGCAGATGCCTTCAAAAGACTCAGCGCGCGTGAACGCTGCCTTGTCAAGATCACAGAGACTTGATTCAAAATAGATTCACTGGAGGAGCTGCAAATTGATACAATGCAGCTAATAATAGCATCCAGCACTCAACGGTTATTTTGGATTTCAGTGAGAGGGGGGAAAAAAGAAGAGAAAAAAAAATACACTTTTACTCACACATGAAAGATCACTCACAGACACACACACACACACACAGTGTTTTTCCACACATAAACTTCAGGAAAGAAAGTGAGCATGTGCAGAACAGAAATTAGTATCTATAACACTAACACAAAATCATCACTTATGCTGACTCACCCTTGGTTGTTGCAGTGACGCTGTCTGATTTGGTGAAGTCTATACTGGCGTAGGCTCTGTTCTCTGGCAGAGGCACCATCCCCCCTGCAGCCGCCACCACCGATGCCGTGCTCCCACTGCTGCTACCTGCTCCCGACGTCACAGCTCCCGTATTACTCCCATCCTCCCTCAGCTCCAAGGCGATGTAGTTGAGGCCGTTTTGATAGCCAACTGACATGTTCCTGCACATTCTGCCGGCTCCGGGCCCCGTGGAAGAGGAGGAGGATGCTGCTGAAGTCCTGGAGGCCGTGCCCGTTTCTGTGGTTCTTGCCGGGGCGTGGTGAGCTGGAGAGTCACCCAGACCCTCCACAGACATCCACACACTGTCAAAAGACGCCGAGCTGGCCCATCTAGACGCCTGTCCCTCCGTTACATAAGATCCGTTGGGGGCCAAGGGGTTAGCAAGGGTGGGGTGTGTGGCCGAGGAGCCAAGACCTCCACTAGGAGGCGTTGAATTAGAGGAAGAGGTGGAGGAGAATGTCTCTGAGCTGTGTCTTCTTCTGCCCTGGGGATCAGCTCGAACCACCTTGGGCTCCATCGGCTGCGTTGGCGCCCTATCTGGGCTCGTCGGGGGCAGGGGGGGAGAAATGGATGAGGAGGTGGTGTGGGGAGGGTGGCCATAACGCCCCTCTATCACACAGAGATGCTGCAGCATGGCTGTAGGGCTCGTTTGTGTCCCGTCACCTCTGCTGAGGTTAAACGTCATGTCTGTGTAGTCGTCCCCAACTGGCCTCCAGTGACCTCCGACCTGCACTCCAGGGGAGGCCACCGCTCCGGGATTGCTAGCCAGTGGTCGGATATAGCTGGGTGGGTTCCATGGGGCAACTAGGCTCGGTCTGGGTGACTGGTTTTTTCCCAGGCAACCAGAACTATCCTGCTGGTCCGCTCCTACCTCCACACTCATGTAATCCTGAGGAGGGGAGCGACAGTGGTCACCGGATCCCAGGGAAGGCGCTTCGTCTTGGGCAGAGTGAGGGTAGGCGGGTGGCTCTTGCTGGAGAGGGTAGTGATCACCGAACTCTATATTAATATACTCTCCAGGACTGGAAGGCCCTTCAGAGGAGCTGCCAGTGGCAGGGACTGAAGTCAAGGTGCCTGCAGATGCTGTTGAAGGCTCACTAATTCGCAGCGGTCCGTGGAAACTTCTTCGGCCTAAAGGGAGGCGGTTGGGCCTCACAATACGGCTGTCAGCCATTGCTGCAGTCGTATGGTGAGCGCCATAAGGCGGAGGTGGGTGAGAGGGAGTGGAGGTGCTACTACCTCCCCCACCCCTCTTTTCTGGTGTTGACACTGAAGATGTGGCGACTGATGAGTAGACTGGTTTAGCAGGAGAGCTCATAGGAACGTACTCCCCATACTCTTTATCTTTCTCTTCCCTTTCTCTGCTGGGGGCCTTATAGGAGCGAGGGAGAGAGAAATAAGGGCTGTAAGGCTTTGGGGTGTTCTCAGGTGTGCCAGTTGTATAATATCTGCTGCTCCCTTCATTTGTGACCTTGCGCCCCCCACCACTACTGTACGACATGTCCATATATTCCCCATTCTCGGGTCTTTCTGCAATGCTGTCGCTTGCACACGCCCCAATGAGGCTGGAGCTGCTGTGAGGGCTGGGAGAGGCCTGCACTGGGGAAGGGGAGCTGCAACTGCCCCCCGGGAGCATCATCATGTAGCCGTGGGAATCGGTGGAGGATTGGGATTGGAGCTGGGGGTGATGATGGTGGGCTGAGCGTGTAGCTAAAGCTGGACTGTGAAACTGAGGAGAATGGGAGATGTGGTGGGAGTAAGAGCTGGGTTGCATAGGCATGTAGTCAGGGGGAGTGTCCCTCGGCGACACCGCCACGCCACACATCATAGGCATATAGCCGCTGTCTTCCTTGGCGGAGGAGGAGAGGGGAGGGCGCTCGGAACCGGCCTCCGTTCGGGAGAGTGTGGAGGGACGGCTCTGCTGGCTGTGTTCGGAGCAGGAGCTGTAGTCAGAGCGCAGTGAGGAAGAGGAGGACGACGGCCCCCCACGGAGCAGGCCGCTACCAAATGGCAACACCACATCCGATCCCTCATCCAGTGAGAAGTTAGTCTGTGTCATTTTCTGATAGACTGCCACTCCGGTCGCGCCACCAGTCGGTCTGGTAAAAGAGTGCGTCCTCCTCCTCAGTGATGATGAAGAAAAGCGCTCATCCTCTGTCGTTGACGTGCTCTCATCCCGCGGTGTGTCAGCTCCACTGTTGCTTCCGGAGCCCGCAAAGACCTCCCGGTTCCAGCCCATGGCCATGTAATCATTTAAACAGTTCTCTTCTCTGATTGGTGGGGTGTTGCCAAGAGAGTCTGGTGTGTTGCTCCGCACCCGGAAGTAACGGAAGTCACCTGGGCTGGAGCCGTACTCATCTGACGAGTTGAAGCCACCGTCTGATGGGGAGCCGCATATTGAGGCGCTCGATGGGCGGGTGAGCGTGTCGGAGACGGAGCCGTGGCCGCTGCTGGAGGAGACGCTCACGGGGCTAGTGGTGGAGGGAAAATGGGAGACTGGCAACGAGGCAGAGCGGGCATGATAGGTGGATGTTGCCCCTGGGATAGCTCTGACATAGCGTCCGCTGCCGGTGCTTGTACCAGCGTTTCCTGTGGCGACGCCGCTCCCACTGCTGCCGCCACCACCGCTGCCCATATCCTGACGACCGTGATGGGCCCTCGCAGTGTTTAGGTGAACCAAACTTCCAGTGGCAGAGCGGAACGGCCGGTTCATTGTGCCCTCGCCCTCACTGGATGTCCGAAAGCGATAGCCACTAGCCATGTTACTTTTAGTTGACGGCGGCGTGCCAACCACAGACTCTGTCCTCGACCGTCGCTGCAGCCCAGTCTGACTCGGCGGAAGGTTGCCCAGGTGGCGCCGCGTCGTGATAAAAGGCATGTGATTGGAGCCTGACGACTGACTCTTACTCCTCGGCCGAAACTCCGCAAACGCTTTCAGCGCTTTCATCGTTTCCAGGATGGTCTCATGCATGTTCTGGGCCACAACAGAGTCGTCCACCTGCATCCATATCTCCCCAGGCCCGATGGAGGAGGAGCGGCCCACCTCGATGAAAAAGAAGCTTTCTGAATGTCCGCAGCGCCTGATGTTCATCAGCTGCAAGTTGACACAGGGCGTCTCAGAGTTCAACTTAACAAGGTGAATGGTTTTGGTAGAGAGGCATAGCCGGTAAACACCTGTGAGGTTTTTGGTTTGACCCAGTCCTTTGGGTTTTACATTCACCTGCCACACCTCTTTAAACACAGTACCAGGGGTGACCGTACCATATCCATCATCTAAATCATCAGAGTCTAAGTGTCCTTTTTTGCCCTCGCTCATCAGCTCACTGATAGCCACATACCAGTCCTCCTGCTCCTGCTCATTCTCAGCCACAATGGCAAAGTACTCATCCTTGGTGTAAAGGGCAATGAGGTGTTTGTTTTTGGAATCCGCCCTTTTGTTCACGGTGAAGCACTGGTAGAGGTAAATCACTCTTTTGGGAGGAGAAGGGAGGACGGCTCCACCACTGCTGGAGGCGGAGGCGGAGGAGGCTGCGGCGGCAGCAGCAGAGCGCAGGCTGTTCCTGAATTTCTTCTCGCTGTCGTAGTACTCCAGGCGGCTGGGGCCGAGGTGGCTGGCAGCCCTCAGCACGAAAAACCTTTTGTGTCCATGCTTTTGCTTTCTTAAATAGCCACACTTTCGTATATCATCCACCACGTCTGAGGTGTTTACGACGTTCACAGCTGCGTATACATGGCTGTTGCCAGCGGCGGGGTCCTCGGCGGTGTGTACCTGGCTGAAAGGCGAGGAGGAGGAGGCGGCGGTGGCTTTCCTGCCCGGAGACTCTGCGATGTTTTCCCCAGAAAGATGCTGCTGCTGCTGCTGCTGACAGTGATGGTGCTGCTGTTGATCCTTTGGCGGCTGGTGGTGGCTAAGGTGGAAGTGGTTTGACGGAGGTAAATGGTGGAAACGAGACCCTCCTCCTCCTCCACCACCTCCGGCTCCTCCGCCGACATTAATTAACGGGGAAGGGGGTTCCCCGACCGAGCCGTCTCCGTTTGCGGCTGCAGCGGTGGCGGCCGCAGGTTTCGTCCCCACGTCCCTCTGCTGTGTCTCCACCATCAACATCGCTGCCTTGCCTTCCTGATAGTTCGTGAAATTTGCCATCAGAGAACACAATCAAAGGTCACTTTACCAGCAAGCTAATCCGAGCGGACCTAGACCCCATTCTTGTTTTGGGAGACGAGCTCCTGAGTCCGGCTAGGCCAGCTAACTGACTCACAAACACACACACACGGCTCAGATTTGCAGCACTCACAAACCGGCTTTGCTGTACCGTCTGAAGAAAATAGTCCCTTTTGCCCTCTCAGCGGCGAGGCAGGTACTCCAGCGTGAGCTTTGCTTTTTTTTTTTTTTTTCACGAAATAAAGCCCACCGCGTGCAACATGACCACGTTCAGCCGTGTTTCTATAATCGGGAGGATCCAGCTAGCTCTGTTAGCACTGCTTTCCCTTCTCCTCTTGTACACATCTCTACGGGCCACAGCACAAACAACACATGACCCCCTGCGTCACCGAGCGAACGGGAGGAACAAAGGGGCAGAGACGGGCTCTGATTGGTCCGTCACTTTGACTGTCAGCCGTTGACAAAAGTCGAAACCAATCGGTGCGAGATATTGGAGCTTTGCGTCAATAACTTTGGCAAATCGCGTAGCGTGGAGTTTACTGAAGTTTTCAAAATAGGCGGTGACTTTCTCGGGCTTATCTAGAACCTGCTGTTGAGCTTTCCAGCAACTGTTTAGGTGTAGGAAACTGTTCCCAGACCAGCAGACTCGGAGTCCCCCCCACCCGCGCGCTGTGATCAGACAAAATCTTGGGTCAAGTTCCATTTTTTTGGCTATTTATGTTAGATCTTATTATCAAATATTATACAAACTCAAAAAACAAGCGTAAATGAGCCATTACTGAGTAATTCTTGCAAAAATCTTAAATAAAGTAATCTTGAAATAAAATAAACTAAGAAACCGAGGTTTTTATCAGTGGTATTAAAGTATAATTCGAAAACACTTGTGCAAATCTGTGGTTGTGATTCACTGTATTGTAACTGGAAATACTATATTTTGCACACCACTGTATTTATTTATAGTGAATAGCATATCTGGTTCATATGTATTTGACAGAAAAAAACGTATGTTTTTAAAGAGAATACAGCATGTGGAATGATTTCCACCTTAATTGGTGGCAACACTGGCCAGCTACTTTTACAATAATGCATTCTTAATAGTGAAAATGCATTTCTAATGTCACTGTGTTCGCCTGTTTATAATCTTAGGAAATGCTATCATATAGCAAATTTCACGCAGACGTGCAAATTATTTTTGCTTTAGAGTTGTTTTAAAAAGACAGATGCTAGAAAAGTGGAGGAGACATTTCAAAGCAATGTGAGAAACAAGAAATTAGACATTTAGTGTGAGTAAAGTGAATGCAAAGAACAAAATTCACTGAACATACTACACCTGCTGGCACCACACTTGCATTCCCTCTGACCCGAGATTGATCCTAAGATTTTTGCCTAAAGGCAGCAACTTGTCACTAAACGCTTATTAAGAGAGCATGCATGTGTGACAGCAGAACTTTAAGCTCCTGCAACAAACTTAGATAGAGTAATCAAGGAGGACTTTCCCCCTACGTCCCAGGGGCGGTATCTGTGTTCTTACACACTGCGGAGAATGCCACGCTCGGCTTTCTTAGCCTCTACTACACTTTGCATGTGACAATTTGCTGGAACCTTTTATCCCAAACACCTTTCAGTGTCATGAGCGGGATCATGTTTAGTGCAGCTGGCCCTGATGGGAATCATACCCTTAACTCTATGCGGGGACCACCTGTCGGCCTCTGAATGCATCCCTTTAAATGGCAAAGACCTAAAGAAAACTCATGCTGCAACTCTGCTTTTGATTTTACAATAAAAAAAACAGAAAATATTGGACCTGTGTATATCTACAACATGTTTACTGTCACACATATCTCTTTAAACATCTCAAAACGATGCAAACACATTTTGAATATTCACCTGTTGCATTTGGTCAAATCAAACCCTTACAAACGCACTGGTGTAATCTATCCCCACTGTATGCCAGGTGCCATAATATTAATTAAGTAAAGTCTGTTTTTATAGCACTTTTCGGGGCTAAGAAAAGTCTTCATAGCAGTCCCAAGAAGCTCTAAAGAGCCGGCTTGAAGAGAAGATGACATGCTCTAAACCTGACAGGGAGACAGTGCAAAAGCTTTAAACGTTGGGTTATAAGTGAAAACTTGTGAGAGTTCCTTGAAAGCCTTAAAGCAGCATGTTGGATAGATTGGAGGTGATTAATCCAAGCGAGAGGAGACGAAGGCATCGACACGCATTTCCAGTTTACTTTTCAAGACAAAGGCATACAGTTTAGTAACACGGCTGAACGTGATCATTTAATAAATGGAAAAACAGCAAGAGCCGATCAGAGTTTATGGGAGAACACACAATGAAAATTGTATATTCTCCCATTGATGTATATAAATTGTAAATAAATTGAACATGCAGATCCATCTGCTGTAGACCTTGAGACACAAGGGAACAACTGGAAGTACCTTCTGTCATTAAAAAAGTTTGATGTAATGAAGTAATCCTTAACAATGTAACTATTAAGCTTCTTTTTAAAAGTATTCTAAACTTTAAAATAATCACAATTACTCATAAGTTGTAATTTAAAGCTTGCAATCCTGATGAAATGTTATCAATTACTGCTCAGCTGGAGCATTTAAACAAAGAGAACTCTTCTTCTTGTTTAATGTAATTTTTATGTTTCATTTTTAATCAGGATCATCAAATTAAAATGTTTTTCTGCTATCCGGTGTGATTCCTGCATGTCTGCAATTTCATGCAAGGTAACATTACATGGTTAGCGGTCACCGAGCTGGAATTAAACCTGCCAAATCTTAATTCTCCCAAATGAAAGAAAACTTGAGTACAGCTTGGGTACCTGAGCAATAAATTATTCTTTAAGCTGTGTTGCTAAAGCACTGTGCTTTCACCCTCTTATACAATCTATATGTGGAGGCTTTGGTCTTTCATTCTTTCACCTCTTTAACCTTTTGTTACAGGAAAGAAGCTGGACGGCATTATGACAGCCAAAATATCAACCTGCAGTCTCTCGCACAATGGGGGCTAGCTACCACTCGAGCCTACAGGCAACCTAACTCTTCCCTGGGGAAATATCAGCTGCTTTTCAAAGGAAGGCCGGTTCTGCTAACCTCTGTCTGGCATGAGACCAGTCAAACCTGTGAAAGCCTCTGAACCCTATCAACTTGTTAACTCTGCAGCTGTGAGAACACATGAACTTATGTAGCTTTACACTTTTTGCCCTTTTTCTGACTCATATACAACACAGAGGGAGGAAAAATGTAGATCCTGCTACCTCTGAAATTCTCCAGAATCTCAAACGTTGTTTATTTGCCTCTCAAACACACAAAGTTCTCTTTCAGTTAAGGGTAAGAACATGAACATTCATGCACTGTGGCTGAGTAATGTTCCAGATAAAAGGTGTGGCCCATGAGTTTTAAGTAAAACAAGCTGTTTTGTGATTTTTTTAAAAGTCAATTTGCATGCATCTATCTGCAGAAGGCAGATGTTGTGTGGGACAACAAAGAGACTTTTACAGGTATGCTTTTGCATGCGCACAAGTGTCAGTCAAACCAGAAGCCATTGTGTCACGTTAAAGATGCAAATATTGCCCATGTGCTTGCATCAGGGCGTTTATTTAGTTCCTGCACTGACGTCAGTTGTCTGGGTTTGCAAATACACGCAAAAAGGAGATTAGAAACTGCGGCAGGAGTTGATTATTTCACACACAAGCAACCTTCCCCTGAATAAGTTTAATAGGGATAAGAGGCACCAATCTAAGTGTTTTAATAGAAATAAATAATAGTAATAGTAATAAATATTTGGCTCAAATGTGGCTATCATCTGTTGTTTTTTATGGGCTACATAAAAATATGCGAGGTGAGTCTGGCTGTGTAGACTCAGCCACAGATCCACCTTATGTGGACCAGATGTCAGATGTGCTGTGACTAAAGCTTTATTTATACTCCTTTGAATCGTTGCACAGCTTGTGTTTCAGATCATGACATAAGTTTTAGCATTACACAGAGATAACCCAAGTATATACAAAATAGTTTTTAGATGTGGATTTCATTCGTTAGTGGAAAAATGCTATTAAAACCTACCTGGCCCTGCATGGAAAAAATAGTTATCAGTCTCTGACAAAGTGAATTAGGCTAAAATATCTTAAAAAGCATGCCGAAACTGGGGCATGAGGGCCAAAATTAGCCGCGATTTGTGGGTTTTGTTTTGTTTTGTTTTTTAAAATTTAATCTCTATCTATACTAAAGAGTTATACTCGAAACCGAAAGGTTATTTGCACTCAATTTTTACATGAAGAGACACAAAACCCATAGAGGGCATCAAGCATAAAAAATCTGCCAAATCTGCTGTGGTGACTCCTTGTGATTAAAGGAGGAGCAGAAAGTAGCTTTCTTTTTGTATTTAAGGGTATTTTTTGTTTTTGATTGTTTTTTAAATGATTTATTAGGTTTATTAAGTGTAATAACAAACGCGACAGTTGCTTCCTGTTCAAACGATCCTTTCTTGGGTCTTTTTGGGGCTGAAATGATCAATAAATGTGTCATGCACATCTGGTAGAGCAGTTTATTCATCCCTGCCAAGTACAAAGTGCTTTGTGGCAAGACGCTGAACTCCATGTGTTCCCGCTGACAGGTGAACAAACAAAGGAAAGAATAGGACGAGCACAAACAACTATTTGGCTTGTTATTAAATGTAGAAAACATCGAAGCATTCAGAATAACAGAACTGTGTTGAAAATGTCCTTCATCATAAATCTGTAACTTAAATATTGGTGCCTGCTTTGTTTCTCCTGTTTCTACCCTCTTGATGACAGGCTGAAGTGCTTTGTCTTGATTGACAGTTACCGTGACGGAGCTCCCTCTGCTGGACAGGACTGCACCCTGCAGTAAATCCTCTGCTGCTATTGTGGTTGTAACAAAGGAGCAGAGCCAACAAAGCTGAAACACACACAGAGGAAACACAAAGGAAAGCATGCTTCCCTTTGTTATCATCTCAGCCTGTTATTTCAGAACAAGCACAGTTGCGACATTGCTGCTGCTGCTGCAATTTAAACAGACACAGAGTCGGTGTATTAACTGAACTGGGAGCAAATTGCTGATATTCAGTTCTGCTTGCTTTAATGCTGTTTTGTGATATAAACAGTTGTGTCAAAGTGGTGGCAACTTAGTGTTAATGCTGAAAGTATAACACATTGGACCTTTCATCTCTGTGGGGTCCTGTTCAATGGAGACATAAACGTTCTTGCTCTGGTGCCTTTTAAACAATCGAATAAGAAAAAAAAAAGCAGCCAAGTTTGCTGATTAAATGTGCTTTTATTTTTATTGTACTGGCATTTCAACACTTTTCCTTCTTTCTTCTTTATCACTCCAACTTCCTGCACGTCGTCCTTC